TCTGCCTCTGTCTCTGCCTCTGTCTCTGCCTCTGTCTCTGCCTCTGTCTCTGTCTCTGCCTCTGTCTCTGTCTCTGTCTCTGCCTCTGTCTCTGCCTCTGTCTCTGCCTCTGTCTCTGTCTCTGTCTCTGCCTCTGCCTCTGCTCTCTGTCTCTGTCTCTGCCTCTGTCTCTGCCTCTGTCTCTGCCTCTGTCTCTGTCTCTGTCTCTGTCTCTGCCTCTGTCTCTGTCTCTGCCTCTGTCTCTGCCTCTGTCTCTGTCTCTGCCTCTGTCTCTGTCTCTGTCTCTGTCTCTGCCTCTGTCTCTGCCTCTGTCTCTGTCTCTGCCTCTGTCTCTGCCTCTGTCTCTGTCTCTGCCTCTGTCTCTGTCTCTGCCTCTGCCTCTGTCTCTGTCTCTGCCTCTGTCTCTGCCTCTGTCTCTGCCTCTGTCTCTGTCTCTGCCTCTGTCTCTGTCTCTGCCTCTGTCTCTGTCTCTGTCTCTGTCTCTGTCTCTGCCTCTGTCTCTGTCTCTGTCTCTGCCTCTGTCTCTGTCTCTGTCTCTGCCTCTGTCTCTGTCTCTGTCTCTGTCTCTGCCTCTGTCTCTGTCTCTGCCTCTGTCTCTGTCTCTGCCTCTGTCTCTGTCTCTGTCTCTGTCTCTGCCTCTGTCTCTGTCTCTGCCTCTGTCTCTGTCTCTGTCTCTGCCTCTGCCTCTGTCTCTGTCCTCTGTCTCTGCCTCTGTCTCTGTCTCTGCCTCTGTCCTCTGCTCTCTGTCTCTGTCTCTGCCTCTGTCTCTGCCTCTGCCTCTGTCTCTGTCTCTGTCTCTGTCTCTGCCTCTGTCTCTGTCTCTGTCTCTGCCTCTGCCTCTGTCTCTGCCTCTGTCTCTGTCTCTGCCTCTGTCTCTGCCTCTGCCTCTGCCTCTGTCTCTGTCTCTGTCTCTGCCTCTGTCTCTGCCTCTGTCTCTGTCTCTGCCTCTGTCTCTGCCTCTGTCTCTGTCTCTGTCTCTGCCTCTGTCTCTGTCTCTGTCTCTGCCTCTGTCTCTGCCTCTGTCTCTGTCTCTGTCTCTGCCTCTGTCTCTGTCTCTGCCTCTGCCTCTGTCTCTGTCTCTGTCTCTGTCTCTGCCTCTGTCTCTGCCTCTGTCTCTGCCTCTGTCTCTGTCTCTGTCTCTGCCTCTGCCTCTGTCTCTGTCTCTGTCTCTGTCTCTGCTCTGCCTCTGCCTCTGTCTCTGTCTCTGTCTCTGCCTCTGTCTCTGTCTCTGCCTCTGTCTCTGTCTCTGCCTCTGCCTCTGTCTCTGCCTCTGTCTCTGTCTCTGCCTCTGTCTCTGCCTCTGTCTCTGTCCTCTGCCTCTGTCTCTGTCTCTGTCTCTGCCTCTGCCTCTGCCTCTGTCTCTGTCTCTGCCTCTGTCTCTGTCTCTGTCTCTGCCTCTGTCTCTGTCTCTGTCTCTGCCTCTGTCTCTGCCTCTGTCTCTGCCTCTGTCTCTGTCTCTGTCTCTGTCTCTGCCTCTGCCTCTGTCTCTGCCTCTGCCTCTGTCTCTGTCTCTGTCTCTGTCTCTGCCTCTGTCTCTGCCTCTGTCTCTGTCTCTGTCTCTGCCTCTGCCTCTGCCTCTGTCTCTGTCTCTGTCTCTGCCTCTGTCTCTGCCTCTGTCTCTGCTCTCTGTCTCTGCCTCTGTCTCTGTCTCTGTCTCTCTCTGCCTCTGTCTCTGTCTCTGCCTCTGTCTCTGTCTCTGTCTCTGTCTCTGTCTCTGCCTCTGCCTCTGTCTCTGTCTCTGTCTCTGCCTCTGTCTCTGCCTCTGCCTCTGTCTCTGTCTCTGCCTCTGTCTCTGCCTCTGTCTCTGCCTCTGCCTCTGTCTCTGTCTCTGCCTCTGCCTCTGTCTCTGTCTCTGCCTCTGTCTCTGCCTCTGCCTCTGTCTCTGCCTCTGTCTCTGTCTCTGTCCTCTGTCTCTGCCTCTGTCTCTGTCTCTGTCCTCTGCCTCTGTCTCTGTCTCTGCCTCTGCCTCTGTCTCTGTCTCTGTCCTCTGTCTCTGTCTCTGTCTCTGCCTCTGCCTCTGTCTCTGTCTCTGTCCTCTGCCTCTGTCTCTGTCTCTGCCTCTGTCTCTGTCCTCTGCCTCTGTCTCTGTCTCTGTCTCTGTCTCTGCCTCTGTCTCTGCCTCTGCCTCTGTCTCTGTCTCTGTCTCTGCCTCTGTCTCTGCCTCTGTCTCTGCCTCTGTCTCTGTCTCTGCCTCTGCCTCTGCCTCTGTCTCTGCCTCTGTCTCTGTCTCTGCCTCTGTCTCTGCCTCTGTCTCTGCCTCTGTCTCTGCCTCTGCCTCTGTCTCTGTCTCTGTCTCTGTCTCTGTCTCTGCCTCTGTCCTCTGTCTCTGTCTCTGCCTCTGCCTCTGTCTCTGCCTCTGTCTCTGCCTCTGTCTCTGTCTCTGTCTCTGCCTCTGCCTCTGTCTCTGCCTCTGCCTCTGTCTCTGTCTCTGCCTCTGCCTCTGTCTCTGTCTCTGTCTCTGCCTCTGCCTCTGTCTCTGTCTCTGCCTCTGTCTCTGCCTCTGTCTCTGTCTCTGCCTCTGCCTCTGTCTCTGTCTCTGCCTCTGTCTCTGCCTCTGTCTCTGTCTCTGCCTCTGCCTCTGTCTCTGTCTCTGCCTCTGTCTCTGTCTCTGCCTCTGTCTCTGTCTCTGTCTCTGCCTCTGCCTCTGTCTCTGTCTCTGCCTCTGTCTCTGTCTCTGTCTCTGCCTCTGTCTCTGTCTCTGCCTCTGTCTCTGTCTCTGTCTCTGTCTCTGTCTCTGCCTCTGTCTCTGTCTCTGCCTCTGTCTCTGTCTCTGTCTCTGCCTCTGTCTCTGTCTCTGTCTCTGCCTCTGTCTCTGTCTCTGTCTCTGTCTCTGCCTCTGTCTCTGTCTCTGTCTCTGCCTCTGTCTCTGTCTCTGTCTCTGCCTCTGCCTCTGCCTCTGTCTCTGCCTCTGTCTCTGCCTCTGTCTCTGCCTCTGCCTCTGTCTCTGTCTCTGTCTCTGTCTCTGTCTCTGTCTCTGCCTCTGCCTCTGTCTCTGTCTCTGTCTCTGCCTCTGTCTCTGCCTCTGTCTCTGCCTCTG